TAATTCTAAGGGCCTTCTCTCTTTTCCTTTCATGGTGGTTAAGAGTGGGAGCTCCAAAGTCAGTCTGTCCGGGTTAAGCTGTGTGACCTAAGGTAAGTTACTTAACTTCTCTGTGCTCCAGTTATAAAATGGGTATAATAACAGTGCTTCATTTGTGTGGGTTTGTCGCAAATTAAATGAGATAGATAGAGCCCCTGAACAGTGCAGGACACTGACTATTTCATAAACATTAGCGGGTAGTTTCAGCAGGAGTGGTGATAGACGTGATCATTGCAGGAGCAGTGAGAAGACAAAGCACAGATGCTGGAGTTGAACACTGCTCGCCATGGACCTGAGGTACGTTGTTTCATTTGCTTGCTTCAACTTCCTCATCTGGGAAATGGGGATGCTACATCTTATATGGCTGTTGGAATACAAATGCGTGAATGCGAGTAACGCATTTAAAGGAGCCCCTTTCTGAGAAGGTGCTGGTGTCTTCCCTGCACCCTGGCCTCCTGCATTATAGGGAACAAAAAAATGCCTCTTTGGCATCCTGGCCTGGTGGGCAAGGTCCCTGGGACAAGGTGACCCCAGGGCATCCCTTTGCCTTGTTCCCATGGCTTCTGCCTCCTGGATAGTGCGAATCCTTCCCACCACAGTTACAGGTTCGTATCAGATCCCTCCATAAACTCCCACCCAACCTGAACCAGGTGGCGATGACCTGACCCAATGACCAGAGCAGCGGGATTTTTATTTGGTACCATTTTGTCCGAGCATCATCCAGGAGTGAATTGTTCGAAGCCAAACAGTTCCCAATGAAAAATCCCTTAGTGATATTCTGCTCTTCTAGCCACTGTCTACAGAAGACACAGGACACAGCGCAGTCTTCTGATGGCTCTGGGACATCATTAGAAACACAAGCCACAGTGATGACCTCAAAGACCGCTGACTGCATTTTTCTCTCTCATCACCCAACTCCCACAGGGGGCTGTACTGGTGAAATTTCTCCTTCTCCTTTGCTGGAAGTCCCTGCTCTTCGTCTCAGCTCTGGGCCTCTTTGAGTCTAATCTTGCCCCTAAGGTGGCTGTGGGCCTTGCCTGGGAGAGCAAGGTGTGCAGTGAGTTTCTGGTCCTCAGAGTGGTCTCTTATTTTGCTCTAGTTGGGTGCTGGCTGTGTTTTACGTGATCTCAAATGCTATGAATCTTCCTACACCTCTCTCCAGCTAGCCAACCTTTTTTTTTTGTATTGCCCACCTGATTTGGACCAGGCTCTGTGCTGGGGAACCAGCTGGGGACCTTGTTAAAATGCAGATTCTGATTCGGGAGGGCGGAGCTGGGGCCTGAGAGTGTACCTTTCTACCAAGTTCCCAGGTGAGGCCACTGCAGCCGGTGCACGGACCATGTCTTAGAGGATCAGGCCTTCAGAGCGAGACATATAGACCCAGATGCCTTCAGGGGCCGCAAAGGTGATGGCTGGTGTGGGGCTCAGGTGTGTGGAAGCTCCAGGAAGTGGTGGGGAACGGGCTTCCCCAGCCCACGGGTCAGCTGAAGTTTCTATAAAAGCACTGTTCTGCCCCTGAAGAAACACATCTGCTGAATCCAGCCTCCAGTCCCAGAGCCCAGAATCTTAAGCATTTTGCAGGGAAACAAATCTGGTGACACACAAGCCCTTCTATAATCTCCTGATGGCGGTTGATCTGCCGGGGCTTGAGTATTTCCAGAAGTGGGTAGCTGTGACTTTGGACCTGTCTGTCCCTGTCCCACTGTGAAGACCTGTTTAGAACTGGCCCTGCCCCTCCTAGCAGCATGAAAGTGAGGAAGGAAGAGAGAGAGTGAACACACGAGTGTGTAAACGCCCACACTGTTGTACACAATGTACCTGATTTCAGTTCATCTTCTACTGGAACCCTGTCCCCTCTGCCAGGCTGCAGGCAAAGACTCAGGCTGGCTGATTTCTGGACTCAACTCCTAGGGGTGACTGAGAAGCAGGAGGGGTTGCCAGAAGTGTGATTTCAGGCCCTAATCTCCTCTTTTATTGCTGCCATCAGGAAATGGCCATTCAGAACCTTCACCCCTGTCCAACTCAGGACAGGTCCGTCCAACCCTGGAAGCCACAAATGGGAGGGCTGTGTCCGCCTGTTGGAGGCTTCTGGGCTGATAGGCAGAACACCGCGGCTCTCAAGAGTCCAGGTCTTAATTTCTTTCTCCTTGCTCATCCCTGGAAAGTTTGTGATTTGATAGGGGAGGAATTGCAAGTATCATGAATAGTCCCCCCGCAAAATTATAGTTCTGTTTCTTTGTTTAACTCAGCATATACAAGAAGGCCCTTGGTGACCAGGAATAAAAAGGGGAAGGGAGGGTCTATGTCTTATGATTTCTTTACGATGGAGGAAGCGAAATAGCCTTGAGATCTCCCCACCTAAACATACACACACACACACGCACGCATGCACATACACACTCGAGCACGCATGCGCATCTGCAGAGGGCAAGACGTAACACAAATTGCCCTCAGGAATCTGGGCCATTCACCTTCAGCCCTTCTCCTCCTTCAAACCCAAATCTCGTCTTTTGACGAGGCCTGAGCAGGATTTCGGGAAGAGCGGGAGGCAGTGCCTTCTCTCGCTGGGCGCCTGTGCGCAGGCACAGGGGTGAGGCAGGGGGACGGCTGGGAAGGCTGGTGTCCTTCATCCAGAGGTCCCAGAGGCAGGTGTCCCAGAACTTTGAGATTAGAAGGGGTTCTGTTTAGCTCAGCAAATGTTTCCCAGGGGTTGAGGGGGAAACAACTTTCCCCAGGCTTGATTGATTACTGTCTCCAAACAACGTGAATCAGACGTGCAAGCAGTTAGGATATTAATACGCTTATGAAGAAAGCAAAAGAGCATGGCTTTTCGGTCCGTGGCTTCTTCCTCCAAACCTGCTTCGTGACTTTGCACTTGGATTATGTCGACAGCCTCTGCTGGCTGGCAGGCCCCCAGCTCTCCTCAAAGTGCTCAGGAAGTAAGTCCTGGGCCCTGCCTGGTTCCCAGAGCTCAGAACACCCATGTCAAGCTTGTAGCCACGGGTCTGCAGAGAAGGTGTTTGTTTATTTCCTTCCCATATTACGTGGAGAGAGACCAAGTGTGGTCCTCATCACAGGAGGAGCATCCTTCATCTCGCTGCATCACTCCATCCTCTGGGTCCAGTAGGGTTATGATGAAGGTTGATTGATGCCTCTGTTTCCAAGAGGCTCCAAGCTGGGGTCTCCCTCCCACCCTCGTTCCCACTCCAGGCTGATTCCACAGGCCAGATTCTCTCTCCCTGGGGACCTCAGGGACTGGAGAAGGACTTGCTGGGACAGCAAGGTGGGCAGGCTGCTTATGGCTGAGAGGCCTTGCTGGTATTTGCATAGATGGTTAGGGTTGGAAGGGTCCTGAAAGCACACCTCGTCCCAGCCTCTGGTTTTACAGGAAAGGCTTTGAGGGGCTGCCCCTCGGGATAGACATAAGGGTCTGGGCATCAGCTCAAGTGGCCTTGGCCCACTTTTGGGACTTGGCTTAGGTCCTTTCTGAGCCTCAGTTTTCTCTTCCATGCAATGAGGGACAATCCCTACCTCCTAGGTTTCCGGCGGTGTTACGTGAGATACTCCGGGTCTTCCATGTAGGATGAGTTGGTAGGTGTTTGGTCAATGTTAGAGCTACTTTCTCTGCCCCAGGATCTTTTCCTTAAAGATACTGCCCCCCCCCCCCCGCTGCCCAGGCTATGAACTCCTGGAAGTCAAGAACCCAGTTAAACTCCTCTTGGGTTTCTCAGCACCTATGACAATGCCTGGCGTGTACCAAGAAGACCTCAGATTGACTGATGCCAAGCAGGTTTCTTGACTCCCAGAGCCCTGAACCCTGCTGGGAGCAGAGCCGCTGCCCTCTGGGAAGGCCCCCTGCAGCTGGCATGCTCAGGACCCCAGAGCCAGTTTCACAGAAGCACATAAGCCATAGGGAGCTTTCTGGAGCTTTTATTTTTACTCTTTATTTTTTTTAAAAGCCAGTGAAGATGGGTGAAAGCTTGGTCCCCTTTGGACGATGTTCCTCTGTGGTCACCCCCTCCCGCCTCCCCCCAGCCCCAGACCCTCCCACCAGCTGGGCAGCGCCCTCCTTCCGCAGCACCAGCTTCAGGGCCAGGCCATGGGACATCGCAGGAAAGGGAGGGTCATGGGTTCCATGCAAGCCCCTCCCCCAGCCCCTCCCTCAGGGCCTCTCCCCTCCTGCATGGGTACCCCCATGGGAGGAGCAGGGGTTTCTGAGGTCCCTTCCAGCCCCAGCCAGATGCTCCCTTCTCTCCAGGGGTCCTGTCTTTGCATCAACACCCAAGGAAGCCCAGGCAGGAGGCTCTGGGGGTACAATATGGGGCTAAGAGTCTCTCCTCTTCTCTATGCCTCCAACCTTGATCTTTCCCATCCAGTGGGGGCTTCTAATCTCTTCCTGTTTGGGGGGAGGGAAGTTCCCCTCAAAGGCAGAGAGGAGGAAGGATCACAGGAGGATAGCTCCCTCCAGGGGCCTAATCCTTAAGCTGGGGTGTCGGGGTGTTTCTTCCTCCCTAGGACCCATTTCCCCTCTCTGGGGTGGGTTTCCTCCAGCCTGGGTTAGATTTTGGGCTCTGGCCCCTTAAGTGGGATCCTTCCTGGGCCAAGGTCTGAGGGGAATACCTGGACATGCCAGCTCTTCTGCAGTCCGCTGGTAGCTGACCTGGACCCCGTACCCTGGTCTCTGGACTCCTAGAGCAGAAGGAGACCCCTGCCCCTGCAGCTACCATGGTGGCGTGTCTGGGACCCCAACGGCCTGTTTCCTGGTCTGGTCGTTTTTATCTACCTGTGCACTTCGGAATCTGCAGCGCTGGCAGGGCCAGGCCTGGGACCGCAGAGATGCAAGACGGCGGAGAGAGTGCTTGGTCTCAGGAAAAGTTCAGGTCTCCCTTTTTGCCCCCTCCTCCCCTAGCTAGACCAGGCTCCTCCTCCCCCTCCTCCT